AAAAATATCAAAATTTCATTTAATATTGTAAGAAGTTTTATATCTAACATTTATGAAAAAGGAAATAAAAAGAAAATTTATATTTTATATAGAAAAATAAAAATTATATAAAATACATGGCGAAACCGGAATTTAAATTATGATAATAATAATAATAACAGGGCGATAGTTCCCAGATATTTTAATAATTTTAATAATACTAAAGGATACAACACGCGCGTAACAAAATCTGGTAATGATAGGATATAACATTCCTATTTACAATAAAACCGTATATATGAAACAAAATAATGCGTTTTTAATAACTAATTTTTAGATGGATGTATGATATAAAATTTAACTTGATATTCTTTCTATATCCGAAATATTTTTTAAAAAATTTTAAATACGATAAGAACTAGACAAATAAATTAATAGCAAGAACTTAATAATATACAAATAATGATACAAATTTAGTATAAAAATTTTCATAAATTTTAGAAGTTTTTTTAAATTTAAAATATTTTTTGAGTAGAGGTTGTAAAATATATGAAAAAATCCTATAATTTTATTGCTTGTTCAAGTAGTCGAATGATATAACAAAGAAATAAAAGAAAAAACATTACATATGACTGAAAAGGAATCCACCGTCATACAGCGCTATTTAATAGTTTTCACTTCGACAATAAAATTTGAAAATAGACTTTCATTCACGGTAAAATATAATAAGAAGAGAGAAAGAGAGAGTCACTGGGAAAGAAAAGCTGGTAAATGCGGCGACTGGGTGATAGGGCAAAAACGAAGGAAAGAGGGTTCTGTGCATGCTAGACATGTTCCACGTCCATTTCTTTCAACCACGTCCTACGCAGTGTCCAAGTCGAAGCTTTATTAAATTCCCATACATTATCGATAAAGATCTTTGTATACAATAAACATTATTGTTAATTCATTTCCAAGTAAAATTTTCAAATAATTGAAACGATTCGAAACGGATCACTAAAATTGACGTCTGTCGAGGACCTGATAACATTATTAAGTGCGATCGACGCAGATAGAAAAAGTGTCGGATGAAAGTTCGAAGATAATAAAAAATACATAATTACAATAGAAAATAAATTAGAAAAGGTAGTGATACAAGTTGTAATAAGCGCGAAAGAGAACGCGAATTGTTAGAATTAATTGAAAATAGGGCTAAAATGCGAGAAAATAGCGAAATATATCAAGAAAAAATCCGAGTGATGCAAAACTTCGTTGACAACATGAGTCCAGAATCGTCTGAGTCAGAAGAGGAAAAAGCGAACAAAAGAAAACGGAAGAAAGGATAAACAACGCAATACAGAGGAACTTCCATAAGAAAATTAATGGAAAATGACCAAGGAGAGCCAGTGTATATTATATTCCGCAGTTCATATGAGGGTGTAGCTACCTATATATAGCAATTCTGTTGTGAACTTGTTAAACATTTAGAAATTAAGCAGCGTAAAATCTTGAATGCAAATTCAGACCAATAAAAACTAAATAAATCTTCAGTCAAAATGTAGATCCAGGTAAAAGACCAAATTATAGACTTATAACCGATATTCTAGACGACAGTATTATGTTCGTTGAAAAAATTACCAAAGAAGAGACGCAAATTCTTAGTCAGTCAAGCGTCCAATCAGCAATGTTTCTAAAAGAAGTACCTACAGAAAAAGAGACGGAAGTATCAAAGCAAGAAGTAACAAAAGTACCAGTAGTGCAGAAGAAAAATGAAACAGTTAAACCCTGTGCATCGGTAGTACAGAAAAATCCAACGACGTTAAGGGTAGTGTTAAATCCGATGGCGACTAAAAGTAAACAACGCCAGTTGGAACACTGTGGAGCTTCGACAGGGAACATCAAAAAACTTCCATTGCCAAGGCCAGTAGAGCTAGATATTTCGGCGACCTCATCAGATAATAATGAGATAATAAAGAGAGAGATGTAACCTACACTCCAACTAAAAAACAACCAGCGGAAAAAAGGTCGAAGATTACGAAAATTAAGGGAAAACCAAAAAAGACAAAGCAACCAAATCAGTACACGAAAAAGAAAGAAAAAGAGGTTTTTCCAGCAGAGCAGCCAGAGATGTCTACGCAACCCGAACAAATTATATAAAATTATATAAAATTATATAAAATTTTTCTTTTTCTTTTTGAGCCTTCTATTAATTTATTTTATTTTTCTATATAAAAAATATAAATTTCCTTTTTATTTCTTTTTTCATAAATGTAAAATATAGATATGCATTAAATAATTAATCAATATTTCTTTCTTATAAATTTATACACAAGACCTCTGTAATCAAAAAAGGAAAAGAAAAATATCAATTCTTTTCGCGTAGAATATAATCTGCCTTTGCAAAATATACCTGTAACTCTGTCCTTATAATCACACTTTGTATCACTTCTTGCTTTGCAATTACATATTATATAGTACGTTACGTATTATACAACAATCTAGTATATTATTATTATATACAAGTTCGTGATATTCGTTATATTAATGTCACTCATTCGTTATACAATCTAGTTCACATATTCATCAATATCTACAATTCACACTATACGTTAAATTAGGACTTGTCTTAGATAAATCATCATTTGCATGTTGTAACATAGTAATTCTTCCCCAAGTCTGAAGCATCAAACATGTAATGTGTAACTTACATGGATATTTTTCACAATCCTTTCTTTCTGTTATGTGCAGTAAACGAAGGGTATCGAGTAGTTCCTTATAGAATTGCAGAGCATCTCGATACACGAGGTTGGAACCGTATGTGCGCGAGTAAAATCAACCTTTCCACGTGCCAATATAATTTTTGCAGTTTGGACAAAAGTGATGAACACTCATGAAAGCATTCATACAATATGGCAGGCATGAGCAAAGACAGCATCTGAAAAAAGAGAATAATCTATTATAAAAATTATTCATGAGAAAATTTATAACGACGAACGCTATCACTTATCTAGCATTTCATTTACATAATAATAATGTGACAGATGCACATTTTTCGTTACATTTTACGCTACAATATGTAATTGCATTTTGTAAGAAATTATATGTACAAATATCCCAGGTAGCAAGCTGTCGTCATTTTGACGTCGATAGTTAGTCATTTTAAATTATTGACGTCATGTGACCTATTTAAGATGTAATAATGACGTCATCTTTTTTTTTACCAATTAATGACGTCATTTACTTATGACGTATTAAAGACGTCATACTTGATGACGTCGAATAAATGGCCAATCGTCAACGTATTAGTAACGTTATTAATGATTAATTAAAACGTCATATATTTATTCTGTTAATAACACGAAAATAACGACATATTTTCGATGTCGGTTTATGACGTTATCTGACTCTTAAGAAATGTAAGAATCCATTTTTACGATGTTTAGACGTCAGGGGGCCTAATGAAACTGAACATTTTGAAACGCACTACTGACTCTTCCAAATCAATAGTTTAATTGATTATTGCGATATTGCGTGTTTGTTGCAAACTCTTACACGTGTATAACGATTAATGGTGCAGATGCGTGTTTGCAACAGGCTTAATAATACTGTTTAAGACTTGCCACGTCAGCCACGTGTTCAAGATCGACAAAGCTGCAGGTAGTTCGCTCGTAAATTGTGAAAGATTTAATTAGATACGTATATTAATAAGCCGGTACATGATAACGTGATACATAATATTTGTAAGAAATGATTGTTTGTAATGTTTATATAATAATTTCATGATAAATTATACAAATAATTTTATGATTTTACTTATTTACTCAAGATATATATATGTTGTGTGACACATAACCTTAATTTAACTCAATGAGAAATAACGTCATTTTTACGATGTTTAAACGTCATCTTAAACATCAGATTCGTCATAAAAATGACTAATTAATGATGTCAAATAGACGATACCTAGCTACCGTCAATAACACGAAAAAAATAACGTCTTTTCGACGTCGACTTATGACGTTATGTACCTATGACAAATCCACGTCATTTTTACGATGTTTAAACATCATTTTAAACGTCACATTCGTCATAAGAATGACTAAATAATGACGTTAAATAGACGACACCTTGCTACCTGGGATATGTTACAATATTTATCAATCTGAGAACAATAATTTACATTCCAATAACTAATAAACATTAAAAAATTAATTTATAGATTTCTAAACAAATAAAATAAATTCAAGAAAAATATAGAAATATAATCGGAGGAACAAAAAACTTCGTAGAATATAATCAGTATACGAGTAATACCTGCAGTAAGTGCGAATTGCAGATACAAGGCAAGTCATCACTTACCCAAGTAAGCAGAGTATGACGCAGCAAATATGAGCACTTGGCTGATGATCCGATATTGTGGTAGTTTTGATATCGGCGCGACACGTCGGACAGGACATTTTCACTGCATTCGGCCCTAGGGTGAGCACTACATGTTGTTGAACGACCCGTACTTGTGTTCGCGGTACAGAATTCGATTCGGCATTGAAACACGGTTGTGATGTTGATCGACTCGAACCCGGGAAAACTGATGGCATAGGCATCGTAGTTTGATTTGATGGTTGATTGTCTAAAATTATATTTAAAAAAAGATTAACATACGATTTACATTATTAATATAACATTTATCTATCTTATTATATATATATCTTACTTTTCTTTTATCATTGAAAAAAAAGAATTAAAATTAACAATTTCTATAAAAAAAATAGATAAAAAATATATACTAGCAATTCAAAAATTTACAAATAAGACATTTTTTTTAATTTTACTATACAAGCCTTGGGAATTAAAATTTCAGATATATATATTTCAATTTAACTTAATATTATCAAAAATTGTCAAAAACATTTTGTATCGACATATCACATACATGGCATAGGCATTTGTATTGGCGCACTTCCCAGAGGATACGGTGTGGGAATAGCTTGAGGGTGCGTAGGTGCTCCTGCTGTGTTAGCTATGGCTTCCTCGTAAGACGGCGGAGCCGTTGGTAGAGGGGCCGAAGGTTGTGCGTTAACAAAACCCAGGTTCTTCTCCATTTTCTCCTAAAAGAGAACTGAGTTTCAAGACATAATAATACTACGTTCAAAATGCATTAAAATTAATAAAATTACAGCTATATAAATTATCAAGTCATAAAAGTAAAAAGAATTTCGAATCTTCATAAGACTACTTTCTCATAAACCTTAAATTTTCTTTTTAACGTTGTCACTATTTTATATAAATAACAATCTCTCTATTTATTACTAGGCAAACATTATATCATCACGTAAATAATATGATATAAAAATAAATAATATATAGCTTGGTATTTACATGAACAAATAATTTTATAATTTATATAATTATAATAAATAGAGAGATCATAGGAGATTTCATTCGAGAATTTTTACATTCATCGAGAAAATAATATTAAATAATAACATATTTTATTAAACATCTTTATGTTTACAATAAAATGCCACGTAGGCGAAAATATGTAATTTTATTGTGACTTTATTCGAAAAAAAAATCGAATAAAGGATTATCAAATGTTACAGTCTATAACTTTTTACAATACACATGATTGATAAATTTCTTGGAAAATTTATAGATAGCGATATAATACTTCGTAGTATTTCATCGATCTTGTATATATAGGCATTCATGAAAGTAACAACAATAACATCAAATAACAAGGCAAATTATCGCGTAAATTAAAGCACGCTTATATATAATTATTGCTAATATCATAATACGTTATTATCATGCCGCTAGAGATTTATTATCGACTGACGAATCTTTTCACGTAACATTTGTAATGTAAAACATCTTAAACATTAAAAAGATTATATTCTTTCGCGGAGAAATTATACATTTCATGTCCAAATATAGTCTTAAAATGCTAAACAGGTTGCCCTTGATGAAGTATCATAAACTGCAATGTTCACGCGAAACGTTGGCATTCAAGAATGGATTTGGACACGAAATGTATAATTTCTGCATAGAAAGTGCCCATGGAAGCCCATCAAAAGTATTATCAAATTACGTTCTTGTTATGTTTGTAATTTTACTTTTTCCTCTTACATTAAACTTTTGACCTTATACCTCTCTCGTATGCTTGTGATGCACGCTGATTGTTCAATTACCGCACATAGGACTTACAGTTTTAATGTCAGTTCTAAACGGCGAATTTTTCGAGAGTGTGTTTGTTTGTGGACAAAGATACTCTAAAAAAATTGCCGGCCTTTTTTCAGAGGAGACACGAGCGCAAATATTTTGGTTCCTACCAGGATCATACGCCTCTGGTGTGATAAACCCATAGTGCGCTGTTTTCCATGTTATGTTCGCGCTCGCCCTATTTAATTTTACAACACAAAATCTAAATTTGAACAAACATTAAAACACCTTGTCTAACAACGAATGAAAATCGTGCTTTTAAAAATGTCTTTGTTCAAAGATAATAGCTGCTATAATAATAGAGTATGTTTGGGAAAGAAAAGATTCCGCATTTTTTAACAAAAAGAAAGTGAAGTTGCAGCAATTTGATACAATTGTCTGCAAATTATACAAATGTGCAGGAGATTCTTTATACTTTGACTTCAGTTTAAGATCCAGTGGGATTTACACAGATATATTACATCAGGAAACTCTCTACGTAATGCATACGAAAAGGCCTGGGAATCGCGGCATGTAATGAGACGCGCAATAACATCTAGATGTAAATAACGAACGAGCACGCACACATTTATGTGCTGGCGCGCGAATAGAAAGTTGGGCGGATGTTAAGTAACAGAGACACGATACATACATATATTTGCCAGCACGTAGAAAGCTTAAAATCTCGAATGCGTACTGGTAATACGTTGGACGGATATGGTATCTTATTTTTTAAAGCCGGACGTTATTCAAAAGCGTGAATGCATTTATGCTCCTGTGCTCGAATAAACACAATGATTTATGTTAACATGATGCAATAAGCACCTATACATAAAATGTTTCAGAAATTTTCCACCGTTTTATATCTGTGTGTTTAGAGTAATCGGTGACCAAGGTAAATATTTCAACAGTTAGAAATGCGATAAATTTTTTGAAAACTCACGTGAAAATACAGCCATTTTTTTGAGAAGAATGAAAGGAATTTCATTTCTTGAAAAATTGTCGCTCTTTTTCAAAAAGTATTTTAACTCTCTTCTCGCTCTCTTGGAGTGAGATTTCATTCCAAGAATTAATTTGGAGAGTTCATAGTTAAATTATTTACAGTTAAAGTAAATATTTTAGCAATGAGAAACATGCGACATATTTTTATAACATATATTATTAAATCGAATAACGCTTATGGCAAAATCTCATATAGCTTTCTTATATCTGCATTCATTTATTTATGTATAATTATCTTAAGAGAAAGTCTATTACACAAAAGAATAATTCCTTTTTCTCGTGTATTGTATTATTACCAAGCAAAATGAATTGTTTTAATTTCCGTAATATTTATTCAATGTTTCCGCTAGGAAACGGAAAATCATACAAGTCGTTAGGGAAAATCGAATCTTAAAAGAAGCTTCTATAAAATCATAATATTTTTAATTGACAATAAATACAAAGGTACAGAGCTTGTGGAGTGAATTTCCTTTCGCTGAAATAATTCCGCGTCATGATTTCCCCGGAGTTTTTACGATCACACGCTCGGTTCTGATCGGATAAGAACAAAACAATAAACTATGAACAATACGAATATAATGGAGTGAATGCTCCCACTATTTGTTTTGAAATAAGATAACGCGCAAACTCATATTAACGTTATATGATTTATCTATTTAAATTTCCTCTCAATTTTTTTATTTTTACATATTTTCACCATAAAATTCTATACAATTATTCACACTATATATAAATTCTTTTATTATCAAATTTTCCTTTAAATAATTTGTCAAATTGTACAAATGATATTTATATTACATTTGGAGCAAATATATAATATATTTAGCATTTTTATAAAATCATTCTCTTCTCTGTTATTCTCTTTTTATGATTTTTATTCTTTTAAATTTTGTAATGACTCTTTATGACATCTGTATTATATATGGAATATTCAAGATCAAGGGTTTATTAGAGCACGAGCATATAGTATGGATGAATAGTGAGCGAGTCTACCATGCTAGGCGTTTGGAAATGTTATCCGGATGTTCCCGTGTATCATCTTATCCCTGTTTAACGCCAAGTGAGCGACAAGGATGAAACGATACATGGAGACACTCGGGTAACGTTTCCGAACGCAGCCCTATAGGGAACTGGGGTTCGATCCCCAGCAGATCGAGGAAATTTCCGTAGCTTCTCTTTGACGATCTGGCAAATTACCAAGAGAGTATCTATTGCCAAGAAAACTTCTTAAACTGCTGTTTGGATAGTTCAGCGTTAAATTTTAGGCCCCGTATGTTTGCTGTACACACCACAAGCATACGTACGAGAGATAGGCCCAGTCCTGACTTTGAGATATTGCGCCATTGAGACGATATTCAAGGGTAAACCTAGCGAGCGCATGCAACGCGTACAGACAGACGGTCAAAGCTAGAGATAATCGAAACCCGAGATTCATTGTATTATGCTTGAATTTAATTACGATAAAATAGCAGCTTCCTGAACATTGACTTCTTAAAATTGACTTCCTCTATTATTCATTTCTGGATTTCTATTAATATATTATAGATTAACTTTGATCTTTCAGCTTACTCTTTGCCTTTTTTTATATCTCTATACGAATTAGAACTGGAAAAAGCACACAATTCATATCTAGCACGATTTCTTTCGTGCATACTTTTTTTTAATCGATATTCTACGTATAAATAATTGTATGCACACTGTTAGAGCATTAAAATTGTTTTTGCACGTTGGCGATTAACTCTTTTTGCATTCTCACTTCTGGGATATTATATAATATAAAATATTTTTTATATTATATAATAAAATATTTCAATACAAATATTACAAATTTTCATAAAAATTATTTTTAAAAAATTTAAGTAAAAAATACATGTAATATGTTATGAATAATTTTGTAGTGTTTTAAAGGATAAAAATAAAACTGAAATAATAAGTTTAGCTGTGTGCTTATAATTTGACTACGTTTGAAAATGTGCTATCAATGCGATTGTATCATTCTATCCTCATTCTTATCATTCACTAGAAAATAAGCAACAGTAAAATGGCGCAATTGAGTTAACGTTTTTCGAACGCAATAATATATGAGCTAAACTTATTTCAATTTAATTTTTTTCTTATAAAATTCTACAAAATTAATAATATGAAATAATAATATGAAATGAAGTAAAAATAAAAGGTTTTCCAGAATACAAATCAAAGAGATAAGATGCTTGTAAGTATCAACATGGAGTAGCGCTTTTTAAATTAAAATTGCTCCGATATAAATGCATATGAAGACTTTAAATTTACACTTTTTAAGGAATATATTAGCTACAACATCTAAATAAATGAAAGTCGCCAAAATTTAAGTCCAACGTCAATATTAACAAAAAAGTAAAAAGTAGGAAAATGGCGGAGTCTAAAAAATAGGATGTAATATGGAATACCGATGAAATTTAGATCATAGTAATAAATAAAATACAATGAATGAAGTCCAAATTCGTTTATTTATGTAAATTGCATAATATTGTTTATGTAACATTATTAAAAGCGTCTATGTAATACAAGCATTAAAAAACTTATTTTCAGTTTGTGAGAACACTTTTTAGAAAAAGCTGCCGGATCTCCTGACGTCACAAAAATGAATAAATGTTAATTGTACCAAAACGTTTGTGGTCGGACTGAATTTATAGCTTGTTATGACATGTTTGGTAGCAGTTGCAACAACTTTCAGCGATTGCCGTCAGATTGCAATGCTTTGTTTAAAAAATGAGCTATTCCATATTAGTAGCCTATTCCATAATCCCTGCTTTTACCCTACATGTGGGGCATTCAGAAAAAATTCGTAATCTATTTTTTTTATGTCATCCATGAAGCTTTGAAAAATATTAAATCTTGTATATAAGAGTACACTGTATCTTTATATTATAATATTAATTATCTGACTTTAATTGCCACGATGATATATGATCTAAGCGATTACCAATAATCACGATGACATGTGTTAATTTATCATTTTGAATATATGATTAATTTACTTAAGATGAATCAAAACCATGAATCAAAAGATTTACATACATTAATTTAAAGGAAATTTAATTAATTAAAATTTATACACGAAAACGTGTTAGTTCTTACATTTTATCTCTTTGACCAATAATACATATATTTTTTATTTAAATTTTTTTTAAATAACTTTTATAAAAATTTTATCTTTGTATTGTGCTCGGAATATTTTATACACATATGGCCTGTTTTCTGTGCCTACACTAGATTGCACTAGAATTTTTGCTTTTGACAAATATCAAACTTTCTCACTTTAAGTTCCAAAAGTATGCACTAATTCAGCCAAAAACAGAAAACAGACCTATAATATTCTCATAAATAATACAGATGTATGAGTGATGTATAAGAATATTAATTTAACTATTAAAAAAATTTGATAAAAATCATAAAAAAGAATAAAGGAGATAAAAATAGCAATTTACATAATATATAATACTAAAGACTTGCTCATTAACAGTTCTGATCTGGCTCATAAACAGTTATCTGGTTTCCCAACGTGAGTCATCCGGATTTTTCGATAAAGACTAAAAGTTTAAAAGTTTATCTTCATATTTCAATAAGAATTAAAAATGCTTTTCAAATTTCGATTTCCTTTTCTTACAAAATTCAATCAAATTAATAACTGCAAAAAATACATATTATGTAACAATTGCATGCACAAGATAAATATTGATTCAGAACAAAAACCATCGCAACAGATAGATAAGATTCTAATCACGAGCAGATAAACATTCACATATGATTCACGTATATGTGAACGTATATATACGTCTCACTTACAAACGATGTATGGCAACTACTTCAAAAACTTACACGAAACAGGAACAATAAGATTTGACTTGCGATTAACGCACGAAGTCGTGCGTGTCACGATCGTCATGTTAAACATCGCGGACAAGGTGAGCGACGTTGCGAAAATGAAACACGCGGAAAAAAAAAGGGTAGTCCATCGCGATGAAACGCTTCGTCGCGCTAGTCGAAAGAATGTGCAGACGAGGCAGAAATGTTACTCACCCTGTGTCCTATACAGGCGAATTAAGCAATCGTCTATACTTCACGTAATCGTCGAACAAATTAGGTTATCGTTCCTCGGCTCGATTGGAGAATGGAGCGATTGGAGCGTCAAACGCGATGGCCAGACGACGACGGGACACAAATTCGCGCGTCGTGAAAAAATGTCGAGAGCACGTCGCACTGCCACTCGCGGCCTTTTACGCGCTTTTACGTGCAGCGCCTTTAGCGCCTGGTTTCACGCGCAGCGGAGAGCGAAAGGAAAACGCACGACGGAGAACACCGCAGCCTTGTGCACATACGAAGAAAAGTGGTTACGTTCTGCCTTCCTGGCTCTGCCACAACCGAAACGCGAACGGAACGACGACCAAGTGAGACTGATCTCTCGCGGACGTTTGCGAGAATCGCGATGTTAAATTGCTGCGCGAATACCGACGGTGGTACTAATCGAACACTGATGGTACCGACTGGGTACCTATTTTATCGATATATCAGTCTATGGTGAATCGTGACCTTCCAAAGATAATATGACTGCAAAGGAAAAAAATGTAATTTTTCGGCAATAATATATATATTGTCGTAGTATTAAAAATATGTGTGCTTCTTTTTATACAGTATTTATATAATAAAAACTCATGAATTTAATAACGTATTATCGAAATAATGTTTTTTTTAAAAAAATCGCAAATTTTTATTAATTGTCGATAATATCATCGTACTTCAATTATCCCCAGGCTCCCACACGAAAATTCTCCGAGCGTCGATAATTAGGAATCATAACTCATACCTTTTTTTTCATTCTTTCCAGTTCTTCTATCAAAGGCGATCACGTGAACGTGCTAGCACGTGTTAGACTGAGATCAGAGACTATTACACATTGAAGAATGAGATTAAAGATTGAAAGATTGAAATTGGACCAATCAAAACAAAAAGAGTAAAAATTTCTTTGTCCTCATTGAAATTTTAATCTTTAATCTTGAATTCCATTCTTCAATGCATAGTCTGATTCTTGCTGATTCTGGAGACGTTAAGTGCGTTTTAGGAGAGTTGCTTAATAGACAATCACAAATTTTTGCAAAAACTGTTGTGTTTACGTTGAATGCAACATATGTTTTTGCAAGAAACAATAGTCAACATTATCTGGTTAAATCAATATTATATCTAGCGCCTATCAAGCGCTTACTGTCTTATGATCGCTGGTAACAATAATGTAATATTATAAACAGCAGTCTTCAAGCTAGACTACTCATTTCAATTGTATAGCTAACAATACAACTTACAATGACTTTGTTTTAATATTCACTGCTAGTACTGAATATCTATAGTATATGTAACATATTATATTATAGATATTCAGTATTAAGCGAATACTACAATATGTAACTAATACCACGTTTGAACTCTCAATTGCCCTGGATTATTAGGAATTAATTTGTTTTTTAATGTAACTTTAACGATATTCTATTATTTACAAGTATTACAAACTTATGAACTATTTAAAACATAATTTATCATCACAGGTTGCTTGAACTGTAATAATCTTTATCTGTTCAAGTGTTTAAAATCGAGGAAGATTTCACAGATAGTACACAATAGATTTATACACATTAAGAATATTGCAAATATAGAATTCGCAAACTATATTTTGTAGATTCATGGCTAGCATTAGAGATGGATGATTTCTATGGCAGAATACTAAATGGGTAGTCCCTTTTGAACCATTGTCTATTGCAAATGTGCTAGATCAAGCATTGGCTGCGTTCAGCAGAGAAAACAGCTTTGCAACTGTTGTAAAATTCTTCATTATGATTGGTTTATACATTTAGATCCATAAGGAATCAAAAGCAAGAACCAACCGTATTCAAAAATTTTACAACAGTAGCAAAGCGGCATTTTCTACTGAACGCAATCAATGTCAAACTTTACAATGGATGGCTGCGTTCAGCAGAGAAAGCAGCTTTGCAACTGTTGTAAAATTTTTTACCATGTTCAAAAACTGAGAGACGCTACAAGTCTCTTATCCCGAGCCACCAAAGTCCATTTTTGAGAGGTGCATATAACTACTAAAATATAAAAAATTTTGAATCATTTAATTATAGTTGTTCAACTCTACATGAGCCTGGGTATCGATCATGAAACTTTTTCCCTAGGACGAAAAATGAAAAGTGAAATTTTTACCGTTATTCACTTTTCATTTTCCATCCTAGGGAAAAAGTTTCATGATCGATATTCTGAAGTGTTGGACAGAACACTTGCTTTTATGTTACACAGAATTTTAATTTGCATCCTTGTATATAAACTATGTGTTAATCTATTATAGTTTACTTCCTGTAACAAATTATTAAGTTTTCTTTTTAGACAATTACCGGTATTCATAATCCTTATGACAATCTTACATTAAGATGTGTTTAGGCTGTCAAGCCCATTCTACAATTGCGTAAGCGTAGTTTATAAATGGTTGTAGTTGTAAGAATAATTATAACCAATCACAGTCAATTACGAAGAAAATGTTCGACTGTGATCAGACAATTCTTACAACTACAGCCATTTACAACTACGATTGTAGAATGGGCTTTACACCCGTGCATCTCGAGATATAATTTAAGACCGTCTTATAAGATCTGACTATGAATATCATCGAATGTCTGATTTTAAGACCATTTTTGCTACGCTCTCCTATGCTAAAACAGTTTGATATTTTTGCATTATCATATTTTTGAGTGTATACACACACCACACACAAGCGTACAAATTTAGAACAACCTATTACAAGATTTTATTATGTAACGTGAGGTTTTTGTGGAAAGAACCGAATATTCAATCGATTATCCCTATATACAATACAGTAAACATACAATGGTTTCAAGAATTTTTTTTAATAATATGAAAAATAAAAATTTTTTATATCTTTTTTTACAATAATAGATTAAACAAAATTTTTACTGACTTAATTGGAATATTTATCTTAAAAATATAGTAAATTATATTCAATAAATTAAGATTTTTTTAAGTGAGGCGAAAATACCCGGTAAAAAAATCCTATGTGTTTATACAAATATTTCTTGTTAAAAACCAAATTTTGTTTGAGTTATGACTATGATTACGATCAATATTTTTCACTAAATTATTCGTCAAGAGATATGCAACTGATCTTTAAAATACATTGAACTTTTCCTTTGTTTTAAGCAATTACTATATGTATATTTTTAGTTATATCATTATTATTGTTATTATTTATTGTTATTTGTTATTAATTTTGTCAAAGATTAATTTCTTTTTTCGGTTTATAAGGAGAACTTCACTTATTAAGAATTTAATGAAAAAATTTATTCACAATTTTACATTTATTATTTTCTCGTTGAACATGTCATTTAGTTTACAACTTTTCAATTAATTTTTTACAAACAAGAATACGTGTAATACGCAAACAGCATACAACATTTATAAATAATTTAAAAGATTTATATTCTTAAATGTTTATATTTACTTTTGTAGCTTAGAGTCTGAACAGATCATTAATATTGTATATATATATATATATTACATTAATATATATATTGTATATATTATATATTATATTAATAAATATATATATAAATGAAATGTATATATATACACACTCAAAATTAGAAAGAAAAAGCAAAAAAGTTGGAAAAATGTAGGAATTTTTAAATGCTCGAAACTAGGTAAATAACTATGATACACAGAGGTATTTAAAAAACGGAAAAATAAAGTATGAATTTTGAAGTTTGTATTTAATCACAGAGGTATTTAATCTAATACCGATTGAGTGGTATTAATAATTTTATAATGGCCAATAATAGAGTGAGAACCTGCAAAATTGACAAATAGAACCTTCCATTCCAAAGTTACATACACACAGTAAAGCAGTAGACGCAGCTGAATGGGATAAAAAGTACATGAAATTTCAAAATCTCCCTATCAAAATGCGCTTTTACGGAATTTGATACAACAATTTGTTGCCAAGTTATGACATTTAAAAAAAAAAGTCTTTATACGAAATAATAATAAATTATAATGCTCCCATTATCAGTTCAAACCATCATCGCAATTCTAAGATGTTAATTGTCGAAATCCCATCCGTGTGAATGTGTGTGTGTGTCACATACACGGCAGAGAGGATTTGAAGTCAATAAAAGCGAAAGTGACGAACTGTGAGGCCCTTATCTCTGTTCTGTTTAAAAAACTGATCTTTTCCCTAATTGTCATAACTTGACGAAAAATAATCGTATCGAATTCCGTAAAAGTATATTTTGAAAGGGAAATTTTGAAATTTATATTCTTTTTATCCCATTAAGCTGCGTCTACTGCTTTACTCCGTGCAACTTCGGAATAGAAGATTCTATTTGTCACTCAATTTATCGGCCATAGAAAAATTATATTGATCACTCAATCGGCATATGAAGTTTCTCAAAAGTACAGACATCAAGCTTTATTTTTGTTTCTTAAACACCTCTGTATCATAGTAGTTTACGGAGTTACGAGCATTCGAAGTTTCGTAAATTTTTCCAACTTTTCTATTGTACCGTTTTTCCTTTGACTGATTGTAAATTATAAATATTACAGTAAATATAAATATTACAGTAAATGTTACAGAAACACTTCATCAAACATTATAATCATGATAAAAAATGCTTGTTTGAAATATTTACTTATATTTATCATAAATATTACATAAAACATTTATTAATCAATTAAAAAAATGAATAGTAATAAATATATGTTAAAAATATTATATACTGTCCGCATAATGGTAATTTTGAAACTATCCAGGAGGAATGCTATTGGTTTGTAATCAGTATTCATATTTATCATTGTTCCTATTTCTCATTCCTGTTTTGTTAAAGCATGCAAAGCTTGTTCTCAAAGACGACTCTAATTTAAAAAATGCTTAGAAATTTTCACTCTTAGTCAGACAATATATTTCACGTTTCTATGATTAATATTTCAAGATATTGTTATTCGTAATAAATTTAACTATGAAAATACAAGGATTTATGTGTATATGTGAGTGCGTATACATATGTATATGTATATTTCTCAGAGATCAAACTTTACTTTGATCATCCAATTCTTCTTTGCAGTCTGGTTCACTTCCGTCATATTTTTCAAATAGAAGTTAAATAATCCACATCAATTTTCAAAGAACTCGTTCCGTCTAGTTAAGAACTTAATTCGACTTTCATTATCCAAGTTTTGAAAATCTTCAGTCTGGGTCACTTCCGTCACATTTTTCAAATAGAAGTTATAACAATAATTCGTCAATTCCTAAATAATAGACACCATACATGTAAGTAAATAAAATAACATGTAATATATATGAATAAATAATATATTTTTGTCACATTGAAAGAAAAGATTGGCTGCTTTATTAAATTAATAATAAAATATAGTACAGCAGTTTTAATTGGCTGCAGAAGCCAATTTTTTCTTGGTTACGATAGTCATACACAATAGCTGCTACGACCAAAAATTTATTGCACTGTCATATTCAACCAGCCGTTTCTTCCAGTGCAGGTGATTTAAAATAAATTGAGACTAAAAATAATGTTGAATAGTATTAAAATATACTTGTCTGTGAAGTGTAAGACACGGGTATTTGTCACACGCGTTAAGTTTTATTATGTCGCGTATAATATAAGTAACGTTAAGAGGAAAAAAAAACTTTATTTAATATTAATTTCTGCAGTACTTTTATCTTACAGGAAAACCCATTGAAATGTAATATACCAATCTAATTATTATAAACTATGAATATATTGTCTTATTGAGGAAAGTAAGGAAAACACATTTTATTTTAATGTGCCCTATTGCACGTTTACAGAATAATAAAACATCTCTTCGAAAATAGGTTGCCTTTCAAAGTTATAACTGTGAGAGATATAAAAAAATGCTTGAAACTAAAGTTCAAAGCATTTTAAAGCACAATAACTCTGAAAAAATGGTTTAAATAACAAATTTTTATTTATAAGAAATTAAATTCAAAAATATTAACTTAGTTTTAATCATTAATTATCTTCTAAACCATTGAAATACTATTTGAAAAATTTATTTCTCTTTTTCATATTTCATTTCTTCTTTCTATTTTCTTTTTTAATAATATTTGCTTTATAACACGAAACTCAAACGGATTATTTTATTCCTTAAATGTACAATTCCGATTCATATAAAGAAATATGTTTTTTTATTTTTATTTACAAATCATATTAAAAACTTATCAAAATCAGAGAAGACATTTACATTTACTTTTTTAATAAAAGAAAAAATATTCGTCATGCGCAATAGAAAAAAGGAAAACAATATTCAATTACCTCTTTATGTTTATCTGGCAACATTTTTTCATACACTTTGTTAACAAGGTTGAAAAGGTCTATAACGTTTGATACGGTAATTGCTTTCCTTATTGCTGGAAAACAATCCATCTCGAGATTTTTCTCCCCGACATCATCAGCCAGTACTAAGAGATCTGCAATGAAAAGATATTTTAATCAGTGCAACTAACAATGTATTTTGCGTTATATTTAATTCAAACTCACCTAACAAGTCATGTACAGATGCTAGATCGAATTTGCCAGTATATAAATATTTAAAAAAGGTTTCATACACTGCATATACATAAATGTCACGATTGATGATGCTATGAAGGAAAAAATTCAAAAAAATGATATAAATCAATTTAATATTAAAAAGCTTTTAAGCAAATATGTGTTTTTCATACCTTTCTGTACTTTCAATGTAGCCGAGCAATGTTCTGAAATACGAACAACGAATCTTCAAGATAGACTTGTGGACGTAAATCATGGATCTGTTTCTGTTTTTTATCGTAAGGTCACTCGTTGACTTTAAAGGCAAGAAACAAGATTTGTTAAAGACGTCATATATCATATACATATTATTATCTAAGTATTTTCTTTAATTATATACACATAACTGATAACATATTATAAATATAATGTATGATTATACATAAATATGGTGTAATAAGGCTAAAAATGACACTTAAAATAGCAAATTACAAAGCGAGAGAAATTGTTATAACGTTGCAAAATGTGCCAAGAATTTATAAAGCTAATATAGTATGGAATTATAACGATCTACAATTGATTCAAATATTTACCAATCTTTTACCGATGACTTGCTTAAAGTTTTCAGCATGTCATCAGCTACAAGAGTTTAAAAGATCTCTGATATTTTTTTAAAATGGAAATTGAATTATAAATAGAATAGAAACTAACCTCATCGTTGAATGCAGCTTCCAAATCATTTAATATGTTACATTCCTCATCTGTAAAATCATGAACCATGGACATTGGTGAATGGGCATTATTCGTGTTGGATATGTCAAATATGTTCGTATATTCGCAGACAACATGGTTCATCATTTCTACTTTACCAATTTCACCCCACAAATAAATAAGTCCGTTCTCACTGGACTTGGCAATGCTACAATTTGCCATGGTGGCGATATCTGATGCTTTCTTCATGTTAGGTATATTCAACTGTCAATCATAAAATTCTCTGATATATTTTATATTTCAGAATACAATTACAGTAGCACATAATTTACCATGAATGGATGATGTCCGTAGAAGATGGTTCTGCTATCTTCTCTAATACGTTCTAATTGCCAATGTTTGTTTGAACCCCACGCATACACTTTCCCTTTGTCAGTCAAAGCAAGTGTATGATGTTTTCCACAGGCCACTTTGACTAAGTGTTAAGATTAGAAAAATTATATTAATCTACATTGCTTGCAGCCATAAATTTTTCGATATATCCATATGTTTCGCATAGTAAGAAGCGTATTTTAAGAAGAACTACCAATTGATTTGCCTGAAAGTTCGGTTATTTCCAATGGACTTCTTGAGAAGATATACACTTTAGGAACACCCAGTTGAATATGCACATTATCTCCCCAAGTGTATATTTTACCAATATTTGTTACCATCACAAAAAAGTTTTTTCCGCAACTCATGCTTGTAATCGTTTGATATTCATCTTTAATATTTATTTGATAAATGCCCTCATTAAAGCACATGCGGGACATTTTGTAATATATCTAAATTAAATGACAAATATATGTTCAAATACAATCCGTGTGATATTAATAATTATCATTGTTACTATATACTTATCACAAAAACGTATTTATTACTTTACCTTGCCATCATCAGTTAAAATGAGAAAAGCGCCATTTTTGGAGCCACTTGCGGTTCTCACAATCCTTGTATTACTCCAATCAATTTTATGCGGTATATAACGTATAGAATAAGGTATTAACGTTCTCCATGTATGTTGCTTGTAAAAGATAACATGATAATTGATTTTATTCAATTGGTTTAATTATAACAGTATGGTGCATTTGTTTGAACATATTAATGTCATACATATATAGGATATCGAATATTCATTTCAAATAATTCTGTTTGATTACGGTTATAATCCGAGACTACTCAACTTTTGGTTTTGGTGTAAGTTTCAATTCTTTTAAGTAGTAACGGCAAATAAATATATAATTATCGAAAATTACTGAAACTGATAGTGACCAAGGATTAATTAAATTGTACGTTTCCGCGGACGAATTTATATACGTAACTCGTTGGGGATGTTTGTTATTATTCGATAATATGTTACTCAACAAAATTAAAAGATATTCTAGAATAGGCAAACTTCGAGGTAGAATAACTTCATCAAAAGTCATCGTAAGCCTATTGCTCGATTGCGTACAAACACTTTTATGTACAAATTTAAAATTAAGTTTTAGTAAGAAGATACGTAATTTCTATTCTTAAAGCAGAGAATTTTTTTCAAACGGGGAATTTGTGTCCTGAAATTAATAGAATTTGTGTTTTAAAATCAGAGAATATTAGAATAAATGGTATAAGCAATCAAGTAGGCAACATAATAAATATAGATAATCGAGTTGTATGCAGCAATATTTGTAGGCAATAATACATGTAAGTAAAAATAACTTCGTTTCTGAAATTTTTATTTGTGCGCAGGTGTATGTAGGCATTCGAGCTATAGGCAAATGAGATGTAAGCAAACGATGCAGTAGGCAATCAGTTTGTAGGCAAACGGGGTTTTCCTTCAAATTGTTATCCGTCCAAAATTTTTGTTGCAAGTTCCTGATAATAATTACAATATATTTACTTTTTTATGGGATTATTAGATTGTACATTATTGAGAATTTATATATAGAAAACACGTGTCATAATTTCTATTGTTCCAATTTCTATAATATAAAAATTAGAGCAATATACATTATTTATCAAAGGATATAAATGTATACAATCTTTATTCACATTCCATACCATATATTAAATAAATTATATTATACTTTATACTCTACATATACTTTAATTAATAAACGTTCAAAAAGTATTTTAATACAAAAGAATTAGAATAATTTTATATTTGTTGAATAGCGTTTAATATTGTTGAATATGGTATTATCTCATGATATTTAAATACTTAATATATACCTCTCCGTCTTCTGTTATCAAAGCAACGGCCGACAAACCGGGATAATGAATTAGTAACTTTATTTTTTTGTTGAACATATTTTCCACTTTTGCTGTTACGTCACCGTAAGTGGGGCATATAAGGCCCCAATTGATCTCGAAGTACAGGCACGATAGCAATGCAAAGCTTAAATAAAAATAATTGCGATTATCGGATATAAACGACCGTAAATATTACATTAAGTATAATTAAATAAGTAAACATATTTTGTCTACTTCTTTCGCGCGAATATTAATAAATAATAATTTTAGAAATTCAATTAAAAATATATAAATTGATTTAAAACAAATTTAAAAAGAACAAGGTTCTGCAACAGAGGGAAAAAATAAAGAATAAGCAAATGGAGATCGTATAGATTTCCTCAGTTAGAAATTATATTTTTGAAATAATTCCTATTCTATTTCGGTTATTGCTCAAGTTTGATTGCTTATGCTCTTTGTGTTCATAGCTCTAATGTTTCATGAAATATACTTTTTGTAACATATTTAAGAACAGTTTAGAACCCCGATACTACGTAGCTTTCGAAAAAAAAATGCCTTTCGTCGTTATACATAATTTTAAAAAAGGTAATTATGTACAACTTTCTCAGTAATACACACTGGAATCACTTATGCTCATGAAATCAGAATTTTAATTGATTGTTTATCATATAATTTTTTTATGACGCGCAAGAAGAGTTAATTGAAAATGGAATTAGGTTTCTTTGCCTGCACTGTAAGGTATTTACTCCCTACTTTAAATGCTCTCTCTCTCTCTCTTTCTCTCTCTTTCTTACTTGAACATTTTAACATAAATCCCAATATCTATTCAAGTTTTTCGTACTTTTTTATTCAGATTTCTCGTGTTTCCTTCAATTGCGTATATATACATATATATACACACACATATACATATATGTATATGTATATATATATATACACACTTCTCATTCTAAATTCAAATCTTTTTAAGCAGTTTAAGCAATATTAGTGGAAAGTATGCCTCGGAAGTGCCAATCTATTATAGACGCAGTTGGTGACCGGACTCTTTATTAATATAATTGCATTTTGGCCATGCTCCTATTATAAAATACAATCAATACCAATTTATGACTAATAAGCCATTTTTCTTTGAGATAGGCTTGCCACGCTCTTACTAGACAGACTGTATTGCATTTACAATAGTATTTTCATTGAATTATATTTTTCCATTATAATTACATTTTTTTTCTTCAATATTTATTTATGTTTTATTGATCTGAATTTGTATTATAAGAATTAATACGTGAATTATAATTGAAGACGGAATTACCATCAATTTACTGTGTTAAGAATTTATTTTATTTTATGACTAATTACTAATTAGATATCTTTTGACTCTCAATATAAATACATATGTTAATTTATTATCACTTTGTTATTAAGAATGAGATCACAACACGAAATTGTATTGCTTTAATTTTATTGGAATTTAATTTTATTGATAAATTATGTATTTGATATTATGTATTTGATAACATATTGAAAAAGGCCAGAATGTGGCTAAGATGTCTATGTCTTATATTGTTAACATCAGAAATTTAAATAAATGACTTTTGCTTGACGTCCTATGTGTTGCGTTTGCTCCTTCTGTTGACTGCTTATATTTATTAAGCTACTATCTAAATTTTTAATTATAGGTGTTTGTTGTTTTTAATCTTCTAATTACAAAAGGAACATTTCGCGAAGTACTTTTATAAAAATTTTATTGAAAATAATAACTCACAATACACAGTGATAAACAAGACAAGATTAAGTTAAAAATATTGAAAATAATAATAAAAACACATTATAATTAAAATATGTCGTAAAATCTACCTTTCACAATTGAAGGCTAGGCACAGCTATTCGTTTCTAGCTTTTCGAATCTGGTCCCTCCCCCCCCTCCCGCTGGAAGTGATCTCTAACTTCCGCATCATATCCTTGCTTATCATTCGTGAACAACATGGATTATCCAAAACATAAACTGACATCATTGCCATCATTATGAGGTGATGGTGACAAATAATATCAATTTATTTCTTAGGAAATTAAACATTATAACAGAGGATATCTACGAACGTAATCTATTAATGACATGAAGTGTCTATTTTCGCACTGTGAAAAAACTTTCAGAATATGAAAAAAAAGAAATTACTTTGTTCTTACAACAAAAGAAATACATAATACATGCACAATAAAGTAAAAGATTTCATATAATTTGCAGCTTTAACATGTCCATTTTATTTTAAAATGTATTATATCAAATCTTAATTGTTATTAAGATTACATCCAGCTAATGAAATTGTCTTACACCTTAAAATCGTACTAAAATTACTCTGCAGATTTATGTGTGTGTGTGTGTGTGTGTGTGTGTGTGTGTGTGTTTGCACACATTATATAATTACATATACAAATATATATTAAATTATACAGATGTAAATAAGCACGAAATAAATAAGTTGCTGCAGTGAAATCTTTAAGTGTAGTCACAAAATGCGTGCAATTTAATTTTGGATTATTAATGTTCGTCTATTAATATTTTCCATTTACTCGTTTATGTATATTTTAAAAATATATAAAAAAAAGAGAAACTTACCGATGTTTATACTTATCTAAGCTTCCACTCTCTTCATTTCCAAAATTATTATCAAACTTCAGCAAAATAGACATGATAATGATAGATATAATATTGTGTAATACGCAACAGATGTGTACTGATGATTGAATGCGAAGAAAAAGCGAATAACTGTTTCCTTCAGAGTCGATACAAAAGTCTGCCTGCGTGACATTGAGTTGAGTATATATATAATTTGCTTAGGGTTTGTGTTTATGATGACCGTGATACGTATTATCGATACGAGTTCTCGCGAATAAACATTTTCGTACTTCGATAAATTTCTATTTCAATGTATGTAACATATAAGAAATTAGATTTGAAAATTTCATACGATCAGCTTTTTCATGTCGATATCTGATCTTATTATATATGTATATAAGTCTTAAAATCGTACTTAAAATAATCTTGAATGGATTTATGCGTATATATATGAAAGTTCTGTATGCGAGTAATCTAATTCTGGATAATTAACGTTCGTTTTTTATCATTTTGCTACTTGTCAATGTATATCATGTAAAAAAATAGAAAGAAATAGAAACTGCACTTATACTGATGTATAAAGTTATTTAAATTTCTATTGCATTCCTTATCATTTTTTCCTAAAATCGCTTCATTGAATCTCAGCATAGAGACATAATAATAATCAACACTTTAATAACAAACAAATATAAAGTGGAAATATGTATTAGATTAATAAATCATATACATAATACACGACAGACTGACGATTGAATGTGAAAAAAACGAATAATTTTTTCGTTCGGTGCTGTTATAAGTCTGCCTGCGTGGTATTTATTTTAGCATATATGGTATACATATATTATTATCAGGGATGGAAGTTACTCGTTACTTGTAACGAAGTTACAATTACAAGTTACTTTTTTGCTAACTTTACTGGTAACTGCGTTACTTTCTTTTTTTGGTAACTGCAACGGTAATGTAGTTACATTTTTTGGTTAACGGTAACGAAATTTACAGTTACTTTTATCGTTACTTTGCATACGATTGGACACGTTATTTTGTTATATAACAATTACATGTTATTAATTACAACAGCTATAAATGTGGTTGTAGAACATTGAATGTTTTTATTTGTTACACACACACACACACACACAAATTTCATTTAGTTTAACTTAATCTAAACATCGTACACATTTTTTTCTAATTGAGCTGTGAAAAGAGCTTTACTCTGTACGTTATATTTTAATTATAGCGTTATAATTTTCTCTCTGTCAAAATATTTGATTTACAGCTAAAAGTATAGTTTAAGTAAAAATATTGCTGTATTATAATAAAGAGATTATGTGTATTTCTTAATTTTCTTTTTAATTTCTAACATATATATATTGTGATTCATATACAATCCTATATAATCTTCTAGTTTTAGACAAAGTATTAAAAAATTCCTGAAATATTTTATCTGTCCACCACTGTAGCGATCCTGAAGTGATCTTTGACTCCTGAGAGATATATGCTGTACCACTATTTCAGAAATTATTTTGTACTTCTATCTTCTATATGTGATACATATCGAACATATGTATATCTTATTATTAGTTTGTTGCATATTTTACAGGTTTTAGAATTACGAAATTGTGTTTAAAAAAAAACTAAAAAATGAAACTATAAATAGCGTCAGTGTTATACATGCTATATACATATATATATTTATGTATATATATGTTATATTTTATATAAAAGCTATGTGCACATAGAAAATTTTTTATCTGAAATTCAAATATTGTAACAATGCATAAATTGTACGTCTTTTTAAAGTTCCTTACAGCAAAAGAATGGAAATGGGAAGAAAAAAAGAACATATATTTTAAAAGAACATTTATATTAAAACAACTTAATTTTGTTCTTTTGACAATTAATTTTTAGTTTAGCATCAAAATTGCATTACAAAATTAATATTATAAAATGATTACAAAAAAATTGCGTAATAATTAATGTTGTAAAATTTCAATGATTCCAACATCAAACTTATTTTCTGAAATTTGTCTTTTGAATAATTATGTGAATTGATCAAGTGGAGTTGATGGGTACCGCAGTCGATATCATCAATTCGGTTAGTTTTAAGGTACTATTATATAGGAACATTAAGCGTCAAACATCAAGCATTGTGACAAGTTTACTATTTGCTAAAATTAGGTTACATGATCAAAATTGACGAATAGCAAGCTCACAACGATTGATGCTTTTACGTAAAGCTGGGAACACAATGAAAAGCACAGGCAACAGAAACAGGGAATAAGCGATTTCAATTAGATATACCTTATTATGTATATCATATATATTAGAATGAACGCTTTCTGATAGGTTGAAATCTCTTATTTCTTGTTCCTCCTGCCTGTGCTTTTCATTGTTTCCATCTTTAAAGGTATATCTTTACAGTTGCTATTTGAGTAGCAATTGATAACTACGTGGAATTGCCAAAAGGAGGGAAGCTTTAAAAAATCTCGCTTAGGAACAATAGATGCCCCTAGTATCTCTAATCTCAGAATCTCAGCAGCGCAACTTCATATCGCTGTGTACGTGCCGTCAATTTCAAATTTCATACAATTTCACAAAACAGAGCGACTGGGATTCGATTATGTATAATATATGTATATTGTATAAGTTACAAAAATAAGCGAATTTACTAGAATATGTTATAATTTTATTGATCAACACATAATAAATTTGCTCACTTCCTTTAAAGGTACGCTATTATAATTCCACTACCATTATCGTTGACCAAAAGAAATGTATGAGTCGCATATATATTTTTGTTCGTTTATATATTGATTTGTATAAATAAATAATAAATAAAATTAATTAATGTATCAACATTGCAGCGCATAATTTCTGTATAGAAAGTACTCGTGGAAACCTCAAGAGTGTTAAATGTATCAACGTTTTTTATGCCTTCTTTGAAAATTCAAGCTAAGATCACATTGAGGCGTTATAGTTCAATCGCTTATATATCATCTTTTCGAATCATTACTCGTTAGATGTTTTTATTAGCAATGCCTTTTCATTTCATACGGGAAAGCAGCCGCGTGCATTTACAATGCAAGACAATTAGATTAGTTCAGAACTAATACGATTATATCACTATCTTCTCAGCTTGTATTGCGTTTCTGCTTGATGCCAATTTTCCGGATCAACCTGTAGCGATTGCGGAACCGGTTTGCGATGAATTAAGTCTGCTTCATCGCGAGTTATTTGCTAATGATTATGGCGAAAGTATTGACGATATCGAAAGTGCAGCACGAATAGTTAATTAATCCTCGTTGCGATTACAGCATGCACGTCAATACAATATGTATATAATTACTCTATATGAAAAGGCGCGTTAAATCAATCGGCAAATTCCAACAAGTTTTGTCATACACGCTTGTCGCTTGCTTAAAAAGTCAGTTTTAATTAGCGCTTTGTAGGATCAAAAATATTTTTAAGAGATGGATTCGTCTATTTGCCTGCCTCACATCAGCAATTTAATTATAATAATTTTACTGGAAAGTTACTTATATAGTAATTAATTACTTTTTTTTTTGAGTATTAAATGCATTGTTGTTCAGTGCTTTTAATGTTCAAAATAATCACCTACTTTCTAGTATTATAATTATTTTTGTAATCTGAACGCAGATCGATGAGTACGTGTTCCATCTCTTATATTTAAAAAAAGTAAGGATAAACTTAAATGTCTTTCTGAACAACAATGCTTTTAGTGCTCAAAATACGCAATTTACTTTTTGTTCTATACACTAAAAGAGCAATTCTGCTGAAAAATCTAAAAATTTTAGCTAGATACAAATTTGAAGATAATTTTGTTGGGTCATAAAAATAATTTTGCAAGAATCTTAAGCAATGCTACAAAATGTTTTGATATTCTAGCAATCAATTTGGTTGTCCTAATATCTAATTGTTTGGATGGTCCAGCAAAATTATTTTTCAGATCTGTCTACTCACACAAAACTATAAAATTGTGACACATGACGTCTTTAAGTCGTTCTTTAGACGCAAAAAACGTTTTATAACCTGAATTTAGATACTTTTTGTTGTCTTAAATTTTAGATTTTTCTGTAAGATTGCTCTTTTAGTGTATGAAACTGGGTTTCTATTCGACTGAAGAGATTCGATTTCGATTAGTGGTACTATAATGTGTCTACACGCTCGTGCGTTGAAACAAATTCGTTCATTCGTGCTCTTCGCTCGATCTAGATCTGACTCCAGAGGTGCGCGCATTTATGTTCGGCCACATAACATACATTATGAGGCCCGCCACTACGACGACGGCTGCACCCCTCGAGGTACACGCGCTTATATGAGCGCCTAATGCTTTCCAAAGGTCAACAATGACAGCGAAGAGGAGCTGCACCGCCTCGTAAAAGCGACGTTGCGACGTGCCTTGGTTACATTATGCAATCAGCTTTTTACTCAGCGGCCTGAACTATATTTTCTTTTTGCTCGGCTAACCTCGCGCTCGCGGGAAGGCTCCGGCTACCGACAGCCGAGGCGTCCATTCACTTGCTTCACCAACGCGAAAGAGGAGCAACCGATCGGTTGGTGTAACCAAAAGAGATCGCAGCAGATATCCTGCGACAGAGGGATATCTCTTTCTCCCGCTTAAAAGAGATTACATCTACCGAGCAAACAATAAATAATGCTTTCTTTCTCTGATCGATAGGCGATATAACGATCTCGCGGATCGAAATTCCGTGACATTTTCGAATTCCGATGCGGCGAACGACACGCGATGTATTACGTAAGCGTGCATTGCACACTACAGAAGTACAAAATAAACTATGCTTTTTTCTGCGATTTTATCGAATACCATAAGTATAATGCTTTTAAATCATTTACGAGTCTCGCACCAATAATCCAGGTAGAGAACACAACGATATTATATATTCGAAGTCTCAGCCGAGTGCTCCCCCAGGCATCCTATATATATTCTCCACTCTATATATTCTTGTTGTTTATCGAATGTTATTGAAAAGTTCTACGATTTTTGTTAGCTCAAAACTATACATACAATATCTTCGTAAAAAATGAACATAAT